AGGAAGGAAGGAAGGAAGGAAGGAAGGAAGGAAGGAAGGAAGGAAAAAGGGAGGGAGGGAAGGAAGGACACACACCAGGAATGAAGAGATGTGGACTGAAATCCACACTTTGCCATCAACTCACTGTGTCAACTTGGGCTAGTTTTACTTCCATCTACCCATTTGAAACCCATTTGAAATTTTACCTCTGTCTACCCATTTGAAAAATGAGAGAATTTGACTAGATTAGGCTTGTTCATGCTGGGGTACCCATATCCCTCAGGATACAGGAAGGTTTTCCAGGAGGTACACAGGTACAGAGGGATCTGAGGATGTTACTGATTCTTAAACTACATATTTACTTTTTCCTGAAGTTGATCTACTTGAGAATGAGCCACCCTGAAGGTGGCTCCTGAGTTTTGTCCATTCTATGGAAATACAACAGGTTCATCCTTTCTCTAGTTGATGGAAATTTGGGTTATTTCCAGTTTGGGGCAATTATGAATAAAGCCCATAAAAACATCTGCATAGAGGTTTTTTTATGAAAGTAAGTTTTCATTTCTCTTAAATAAATACCAGGAAGTGGTATTCCTGGGTTATGTGACCAGCGTATGTTTGTAAGAAACTGCCAAACTCTTTTCCCAAGTCACAGCACCATTTTGCATTTTCATTAGTAGTGCGTGCACTACTGTCCTAAGAGTTTCACTTGCTCCACATACCTGTTAGCATTTGGTATTGTAAATGCTTTTATTTTAGTCATTCTAATAGATATGCAGTGGTAAGACTGTATGCTATTTGAAGAAATGAAAGTAATTAGCCTACATTTGTGGACTCTAAGAATCTAAGCCACTTCAAATGTTGGTGGGAAGATTTTTTTTTATTTTCCAACTTCTCCTAGGACAGCTTTCAAACCCAGTTGGTTCCTTGGTTTCTGAGCCTGCTTGGATAGGAGTTTCTCCAGAGCCCCTTCATTGAACCTACTTTTTAAAAAAGTCTTCATAATTTCCATACTTTATTGTCCTTAAATCATTAATTTTAAGCTTAATATTATTTCTTTTTTATTTTCCATGTCTGATTCTCTACCCACAATCTTTGTGTTTTCATTAGATTTTATTTGCCTTTCTTTTTCCAACTTGAATTGGGTTATTGGTCAATTTCATTCATTTCTCATTTCCTATAATTTACTTTCATTTTTATTTTTAATTTGAGAAATACTTATTTCTTTCATCACTGCTTTCATTGCACTTTAAGAAATTTATTTTAATTAACTAATGATAATTATTTATATTTATGTGCTACAATTTAATGTTTTGATGTATGTACACATTGCAGAATGGGTATGTCAGGGTAATTAACACATTCATCACCTCAGATACTTATCATTTTTTAAGTTAGAACATTTCTGTAGCAATTGTGAAATGTGCAATACATTGTTAACTATGGTCACCATGCTATGCAATAGATCTCAGAGACTTCTTTCCCTTGTCTAACTGAAACTTTATTCCCTTAACCAACATCTTTCCTTTCCCCATACACTCCACCCTGCCCCCTGGCAACAACCTCTGATAACCATCATCTACTCTCTACTTCTACAAGTTCAACTTTTTAGATTTCACATATAAGTGAGACATGCAATATTGGTCTTTCTCTACCTGGCTTGTTTCACTTAGCATAATGTTCTTCATCTTCATCCATGTTGTTGCAAATGGCAGAATTTCCTTCTTTTTAAAGGCTGAATAGTAGTTCATTGTGTATATATACCACTTGTTTACCCGTTTATCCATTGCTGAACACTTAGGTTGATTCCGTGTCTTGGCTATTGTGAATAATGCTGCAATGAACATAGCAGTGCCGATATCTCTTCAACATACTGATTTCATTTCTTTTGGATATATACCCAAATATGGGATTGCTGGATTATGCAGTAATTCTACTTTTAGCATTTTTGAGGAAGCTCTACACTATTCTTCATAATGACTGTACTAATTTATACTCCCACCAACAGTGTGCAAGAATTCCCCTTTCGGCCGGGCGCGGTAGTTCACGCCTGTAATCCCAGCACTTTGGGAGGCCGAGGCAGGTGGATCACGAAGTCAGGAGATCGAGACCATCCTGGCTAACACAGTGAAACCCCGTCTCTACTAAAAA